ATTTTTTATACAATGGCCCTCCTTAAATACCATTGTATATAGGCAATTCTCACAAATAACACACTTTGAAGTTTATTTCCAAAAGTATCATTATTTTTCAAATGTTCCACAAATAAGACTATTTTTCAAATGTTCAATAAATACCACAAAACTAAAGTTAATTTTTAACATTCAAAAGTAAATTCTAAACCCTAAACCCAAATTCTACCCCCTAAAACTATACCATAATTCTATAATAGTTAACCCAAACCTAAAAATTTAAATTATAAAGCCTTAATAATCAATTTTGTATTTGTGGTATTTTTGGAACATTTGAAAAATGGTGGTATTTGTGGAACATTTGAAAAATGGTGATACTTTTGGAAAAAAATTTCAAAGTGTGGTATCCTAGAGAATTAAGGGGAAGAAAAAAAAGGCGATCTTTGTTTGGCTCCTCAATCTCCGCCGTGGTCGGGTTTAGATATTTTGTCTGCTTTTCTTTTAGGTTCTTTGGTAGTGTGGTCCTCTCGGTTGTGGCGGTGGAATTCAATTCGTTGGCTTTGGTTCAGTCTATACAGCTTATGGCTCAGAGAAGTTAGGAGTTTCGGCTCTGTTTAGGTCTCCGGAAGGGGTTGTTGTTGAACCAGTTGCTAAATTCCCTCGGATGCGGTGGCAGGGAACATATATGGGCTCGGCGCTCATCCTAGTAGAAGGACAGTGGCTGGTTTATGGTCAGATTTTTTATGTTGTGTTTGTGCCGGTTGAGTTAAATTCTTCTGTTCTCTTCTACTTGTTTCCTTGCTTCGGTCTTGCTCTTGAGATTTGGATTATTTCTTTTGTTTTGAAGCTGGATGTCTTGTGATGCCTCGAAGATTCTAAGGTGCTTCCCTATCCCGATTTGATATGTCCTCTTTGCTTTCGGGTTGTGGTGATGCTAGTTTTTCGCATTGTGTGGTTCTTTCTTCTCGTCGGCATTGCATTAGCGGTCTGGAATCCTCTCTTCTTGGTTTGGAAGGTAATTGGCCTTATTAAAGCTTTGATCGAGACATATGTTTGGAGTTTAGACAGCAAATGAGCCATAGATCACCGGTTTTTTAAATCAGTTCAAGTAATCGGAGTTCTTTAGAAAGGTAATGATCGGGTCTTGAAAGCCTTTATCTCACCCTATTCACAGTTTGAATGGGGCACGAACATTAGACGGGATTAGGTCCGCTTTCATTCCCTCGAGACGAATAAAGCTCTGGGGTTTATCTACATCATCTCTCATTTGGATCAGTTGTCTTTCGATTATCGTTTTTATTCATTAGGGTTGTTAGTTACTTAATCCAAGTTTAGTTCTCCAGCTTTCTGTTGTAATGCTTCTCTAGTTTAGATTTTGACTCCTTTTTGGTGGGATTACATGGTTGTATTATGGCTCCCCTGTGGTGTGATTAAATGGTGGTATTATGGCTCTCATGTGGTGGGATTTAGTTGTGGGATTATGTTGTGGGATCGTAGCTCCCCTATGGTGGGATTAAGTTGTGAGATTGTGGCTCTCCTGTGATAGGATTGTGGCTTTTTCAATGTATTTCGACCATAATTTTAATATTACAACAGATAGACAGAAAAGAAAAAAGAATTACTCATTTTATTTATATATTCTCTTGACAAAGTCAGACCCAAGTTTTCTTTGCTTTAGACTTGGTGGTTATGACAAAAACATTATTAAAACATTTCGTCTCAACTCTCAACTTATGACCGACTCAATCTAACAAAAAAAAAACATTTCAAAATATTATTCAAATATTTGAAATATGATAAACCTTGGCTGTATGTTAATTGTTTGAAACTTTATTTTGGACCCTAAAATAATAATATTTGTAAATGTTTATCGGACCTTTTACAAGTGCACACATATTACACTACCGATTGAGTTTAAAAATCCATCCAATGATTTGCAATGGTGAGCATAAAACTCAAAATGATATGATTTGATTCGGAGATATTATTACTTTACGCTAAAATTAGTGATCAAATCTCAAACATATATGTAAAGGACAAATTTAATGTTTTTTATTTACTTAATCTTTTTGGCAATTTTAGAATATCTATTTTCACGAAAAAACAAAACCCATAAATTCCAAATCCAAAGGATACTAACGGTAACGGCAACGACGATAACGACCGTCCACGAGACCCAAACCCATCTGGGTATGACGTCATCAGCTCCTCCAGTGACGTAAAACCACGTCATCCTCACTATAAACAGCGGCGCGACAACGCACCTGCAAACGCTGTACGACGCGTAAAACGGCAACGTCACGAAACGGCGAATCCCAACCGCGATTGGCGCGTCTGGACCTCGCGCCGCCGCTAAGGTCCACGAGTTCTGACACGCGCTCGTGGCTTCGGCGACGACGAGAAGCGCGAGGAGCGCGCAGGCGCCGTGAGCCACCATGTAGCGGCAGGTGAGGAAGACGAAGAGCACGGCGGCGTGATGGGCGGCGAAGAGTGAGTCACCACCGGCGGGAGATGGAAACACGGCGAGGTGAAGGAGATCGGCGAGGAAATAACCGGAGCTGAAATCGAGGACGGAGTTTTGCGATTGAGTGTTGCCGGAGGAGAATCCGCGGTTAGGATCGGAGATTAAGGCGCGCGTGGCGAGGTACACGGCGGAGATGCCGTGGAGGAGGGAGATTAAGCAGCTAGAAGCTAAGGGACGAGACTCTGGAGTCCATCTACGGAAAATGAATAAGTAACCGAGAAGATAAACGAAGATGAAGATTGAAAAGAACAATGGTAGATCTTTGTAATTTGTAATTGACTCCATTGCTGATGAAAATAAGTTAAAGCTTTGAAGTCGTAGATACATACACATTTGACATATATGATATATATGATAGAGATGGTTGAGGTTTGTTTAGAGAAACATGGTAAGGGTTGGTAAGAAGGGAGTACCCAAAAGCGACGACGTTGCCAAAGTTTTTTTTTTGTCGTCGCATCTTATGGTATTAATATTATTTCATCTTCTTATACTAGAAAGTAGAAACCTCAAAGCTAGGCCTGGACAAAAATCTGTTAAATCTGATTCGATTCGCTATTCGCTTTTTATCCGAACCAAAAATTTCGAATAACCGTCAAATTTCGAAGCAAAGCAAATACTATAATATGATATCCGTAAAAAACAAAGCAAATAACAAATAGTGATTTAGAAAAGACTAATATCCGATCCGATCCTTATACATATATACATATATGTACATTAGGTACTCTAATATGTGATTAGTTATTGTCTTTTGATGTTTTAGAATATTTTTTAACGGATCGGACCAGATAATCGTGGATATTTAAAAAAAATTATGTTATCCGATTTATAACAAAGCGGATCAGATATTAGCAAATATTTACAAAAATTTCGGATATCAAAAAAATATCGGAACGGATCGGATCGGAAAATCTAATATCCGTTTCGGACGGAACAGATCACGGATACCAATTTTTTTCCACATATCCGCTGCGTGCCTAGGACTACTCAAAGCCAAATAAAGTTTTGAAACTTTGTTTATTAATACTCCCTCTGTCCCAAATTATAAGATTTTTAAGGT